CAGTGTGTCAACAGTTTTATTGGTGTTGTGTTATACTAGTGTTCCTTTTGAGTTTATCCAATAATTAACCCTAATTGTTAGTTGAGATTCACAAAATAATACATTTCCTGTGAAATGGGTTGAGAGTGGGGTAGTTCATAAAAATTCTATACTGTTCTGTCGTTTAACAATTTTTCACAGGGACGACAATTTCTTTAAGGGGGGAGGAATGTAATATACATGGATCATTTAAATACTGTAACATTATGTGAGATGTGAGCCCTCTAGAGTTTGTGAAATAAATTGTTCTGGAAATGAAGTCATTGTGTACGTTTTGATACGTTCTTGAACCCAAAGATATTACATATACTAACATAATGGTGACTTGACAGTGGACCCTCACACCCAGGTTGCCATGATTGTAAGATTAAAGAGATCAGCTCTCCCAAACCAGGTGATTGGTGTCACTTCCGGTTCTCTGTATTTGTCTTCATTGGGTTTGGTTACCACAAAGTCACTGTTAGTCTGGTTGTAAAACTGCTGAAATGAACTTTAGCGGCAAAAAAGTAAAGGAAAATTAATTTTTGGTTTTTCTGAATCAGCATACCCTATAGTGTCTCAGAAAAAAATCCCCATGCCTAGGGCTTGGGCAATTTTTTTACAGCACTTTGAAATTTTGACCTAAAATACCCTATTTTAAACTATTTAAGATTGGGGTATGGGAAATAAATTTATGCTTTTGGTCACTTTTACATATACTGTGGATATGAAATGTAACAACAACTTGGCTAAATAGTTACTCATCACTTTACATTAATTTACATTAATATTAGCGTTAGTACTGTTATTTTTAATATACTGATGTCATTATTATTATTATCATCATCATCTTCCTTATTGTCATCCCCATTCTCATTATATTCCCCATTATAAGGAGGATGTTGATGATGATGAGGATGATGGTGATTACGATTGATGATAATGGTTGTTGATGATAATGATTGTGATGATGGTGATGAGAATGATAGAAAATGATTGATGATGATGATGATGATGATGAATGATGAGAATCATCCCTCTCATACTCACCCTTGTCATTATCTTCATTCTCGTCGTCCTCATCTTCATCATCCTCATGATGAGGATAGTGACTGATGATGAAGAGGATAATGATGAAAATGATGATGGTAATGATGACGATGATGATGATGATAATAATGAGGATGATGGTAATGATGACGATGATGATGATGATTAAGATAAGAATGATGATGAGGAGGAGGATGAGGATGATGTGGCTGATGAGGAGAAGGAAGATGATGAGGTAGATGATGATTGATGATGGATGATGATGAGGAAGAAAATGATGTTGATAAGGATGGTGAGGATAATGATGACAATAAGGAGAAGGATTAGGATGATGAGTTTGATGATGATGATGAAAATAAGGATGATGATGATGATTATGATTGATGATAATGGTCGTTGATGAGGGTGATTGTGATAATGATGAGGATGATTGATGAGAATGATGTTGATGAGGTTAATTACGACGAATGATGAGAAACATCCCGTCTGCCCCTCATCCTTATCTTCATTCTTGTCGTCCTCATCCTCTTCATTATCATCCTCATGATGAGGATGATGATTGATATGATGATTAATAAGGATGATGATGATGTGGTTGATGATGAGGACAGGGATGATAATGATAGATGATGATTGTAATGAGGATGATGATGAGGATGATAATGACAATGATGATGATAATGAGGACTATGATGATGAATGAGTGATGATGATAAGTAGGATAAGGATGAGGTTGATGATGATGAGAATTAGGATGATGATGGATGAGGATGATTAGTAGGATGAAGGGGATGGTGATGATGTTAACAATGATTGGTGAGGATGGTGATAAGGGTGACGATGATGGATGAGGATCAATGCCATGGCCAGGATTTTCAAACGGTGTGGGACAATATCAGAGCGGACCACTTTACGTGTAAATTCAAACAAAGTGGACCCATTCTACGCAAAAATATGAAATATCTGGACCCATTTTCTTAAATTTTACCCATATTTAACTAAATATAAGGTATCTGGATCAATTTTATGCATAAAATTATATAATTTGTACCCTTTTAAAAAATGTGAACCATTTTTTGTGGACCCATTGAAAAAATGGTGTGGGACTGTCCCAACTGTGCCAATAGCTGGCTATGCCATTGATGATGATGAGAATGATGGATGAGGATGAATATGATGATGAGGATGATGATGAAGAAAATGATGAATAATGAGGAGGATGAAGATTATGAGGATGATGATAACGACGATAGATGATTGATGAGAATGATGTGATGAAGATGAGGACGATGACGATGGATGAGTATGATGTGATGATGATGGTGATGATTACAACGATCGATAACAGTAAGGATGATTATAATGATTAGACAACAATGAGAATGATGATGACGATGACGAAT